CTAAACTATTTGGCCATAATCAAGCTCTTTGTCGCTAAATGAGATTTCCTCTACATGCTCATCTTGCCCAGGCATTTTTGCCATCTATGGAGATTTGTACGCAAAACACTCGGTGTTAGGCAATTGGGAGATGTAGTGTGGTGTCAATGGAGGTGCCTAAGAGAGATCTTGCATCAACAGTGCTTCAAGAGTGGAGTTGATGGCTTGTGGTAGTGGCGTGAGGACAAAATCACTCTACCCAATTGAAAGTGTGCTCAACCCAGTAGGCAATAGTGATGGAGTTTGCTTTTGCACGGCCTTAGGCAACGTTTGAGCTACCGTACATTGCTTTGGAACTAAACTTAGAATATTAGTGCATCTTGGCAAAGGTGTAGGTGTAGAGTGAGTGAGAGGGAAAAAGTGAGAGAGAAAAAGAAGCTCCTTAGTCACTTCCAAATTACCTAAGTTGCCCTTCTTTACTATGTTAGCCTTAAGCTTTATTCTCTTACCTTTGTTTTCTTTTGTATGCAAACGTATTGTTGAAAAAAGATTTCCTTCTTGGCCTAGTAATCTTTGCTCATTAATCCTTGTGGTTTGCTAGCAGAGTTTATAGAATGAAGCAAGAAAAATGTAGACATTACTCCTAGAGTATCTACCTCTTCTTTTATTTTTCTCTAAGTCTTGCATTGCTTGGAGAAAATTTCTATAGGCCATACCAACAAGATTTTGAGGGAAGGCCTACTCCATAGAAAGAAATATCTATCCAATGTATTTCTTGATTTCTTTCTTTGGAACTTCCCTATCAAAGAAAGCACTTCAATATTTAAAGGTTTCTATAGTATAAAGATGAATCTTTCCTAGGGGATATATATTTTCCATTTGTTCTAAATGAACAGATTCTTGTTTAAGCTTATCAAAAAAGATTACTCCTTCTATTTAGTTCTACTGATCTAATTCTATGGGGAGATGGAAAAGTTAGGAAATAAGATCTTGAGTGATCTTAATATCCCCTCTATCCATTTTGAAAGCCAGTTTTACAGAATCCCATAATTGAAGAACTAATTTGCTTTTTTATGGTTCTACAAAATTTGATGTAACTTTGTAGAATTTTTTTTAGACCCCTATCCTTCATCTAGTTGGCCACTTTAACTATGCACCTAGGTAGCTCATTATGATGAATCCCTATGAGGGCTTCATCCACAACTTATCCATAGTTTTGTACCCTAAGATATAATATTTATGCTTATATCTTCATGGTACTTCCTTAAACGGTTTAAATTTACTATTGTAGTATCATCCCTGTTTAAGGTGTGCACTTTAGCTGTTCTTCGAGCTAATATCTTAGACAAAATAAATAGATTATTCCATTTTCTCTTGAATTTATTTCTAAGAGTATCTATTTTACCTTGATACCAAAAACCTTATATCTTGGTCTAAGCTCATAAAAAGTTTTCAATTGTTTATTATGCCTAGCTTTTTTGGCATTTTAAATTGCATTCAGGGTCTAAATTGCTCTAAGCTTAAGCTTATCCAAGTTTTCTATTTTAGCAAGTCTTTGTTGAAGAGCTTCTTTTTCGTCTAAGCCATTTTTAATAGCAATATACAAAGAGGGAATTATAAATTCTATAGGCATTAAAACTTTATGGCCATAGGTAAGACAAAATGGTGCCATGTAGGTGGATACTTTATATGTAGTCATATAAGCCCATAAAGCATTTAAGATTTTCTCATCCCAATCTTTTTGATTGTCCTTTACAATCTTTTTCAATATATTTTAAGCACTTTGTTAGTAGATTCAACCTAACCATTCTCTTATGGGTAATATGGCATGAACTTTTTGTGTGTAAGGATGAATTCTTGTATAAAAATTTCTATTATTTCATTGATGAAATGGGTGCCTTGTGACGATCTCCTTAGGCAAACCGATGTTTTCATAGAGGAATTTAGTAATGTTAATGGCTGAGGCTTATTTCATAAGCATAACTTATGCCTATTTAGTCACATAATCAGTAGCAACTAAAATGTATTTGTTCCTCTTACTGCTTGTCACCTTCTTTATTGTTTTTTTTAAATTTTATATGGCTTGATCTTCAAAGCTACCAAGTAGCATTGCATGTCCCACAACCAGAGCAAAATCACCATCACAAGGGGGTCTATAACCAGCCTCAGCCTACTTTTGTCATATTATAGCAATAGATCATGGTGGTTCAATAGATCATAGTTCCCAGCAATCTCCTAATGTTTTTAATTGCTATAAAGTCTATTAGTGGGTTCTGTTAAAGCTAGAAAATATAGAGCAAGGACTTAAATCCATTGGCTATAAATAAATTATTGCCTTCTTGTATAATATTCCAGCTCTAGACAATTTGATATCTTAAAAATTGGAAATAAAAAAATAAAAAGAACTATATCAAGAACCTGAAGCTTCCATTTTCTGTTGCTACTGCTTCATACTTCCTTGGAGATTAGTTGCCTTCCTTGTGTAATTTCCTATGCTCTACTCTAACAACTAAGAAGACCTCCCTAGCAAGCACATGTTTCCTTCGGAAGCTTGTTTTTCTTACTGCCAGTCTTACCAAAAGGACAAGAAGAGGCTCATAGAAAAAAATAAAATAAATAAAAACTAGGAAGCCAGATGAGCGATGAGGCTGTGGTTGTGAAGTGGAGGTTCTGTGGAAGTGGAAGATTGCTTCAAGGCTGCAAAACTTAAGCCTCTAGTTGGAGACGCAAAGTTACTGTTGCTGCTGTGGCAATCAACACCTCTGAACCAAACCTAATCACAGCAATGGCAGCTGAGAAGCAGCACCATGGTGGAGTAATGGCTTCCATGGAGAGAGTGCCACCCAAGAGAGATCTTGCTAGGAGAGAAGGAGAGATGGTGCTGCTGACCTAGCCTAGAAGGGAGAGCTAGAGAATATAATTACAAACTGTATTACAAATTGCATAACACTAATGACAAACATAAATTTCACAAGTTCCTTTTATGTATTTGGAAATCACTACTGGATTCACACATAATGCTGACTATTATAAGTGTAGTTTCAATTCGAAAAAATAAATAAAAACTATTCTCTCTATCTTTAGTATAATGGTTAAACTTCAACTACAGCAAAGTTGTCTCATAACAAAGAGATTTCATAAAAGTCATATGAAATCAAGTTTGTTTAAAAATATAAATGGATCATCAGTATTTTACAAGTTATTTTATCTTTAGATTTTATGATTATAATTTTTAAGGTTTATCATTATCAAATAATCTCAATATTGAGAAATCATAAATATATATAACTCTAAATCATAATTTTATAACTACTAATAATATAATAATAAAGTAGATATCAAACTCTTGTATTTTAATATTTTAGAGAATATAATAATAATTATAGAAAAGCTTAGATTTAAATCTTGCTCTTACACACATTGTCTCTTAGAAGGAATTATAACAAAGAGACCCATAAAATCAAAAAATCTTTAAGAATGCAGAATTTCCAATAACTCTATATTCCATTACCACATCCATAACAATATTATATACTATTATATTGATTATATTTTAATTTAAATATATTTATCTTTATTGTTAGCATATTATATTCTTTATTTAAGCTATAACCAGTTTGTAAATCCACACATAATACATTTGTCATTGTTGAAAGCCACTATTCACTCAAGTAATCATCATCGAATGCCACATCTAAAGATAAAACCATTATAGAATACTATAATAAAAGCCTCTTTACCATTACACATCTAGAAAAGCCATCATGTTAAATGGCTTTTATTGTGAAAAACTACATAAATTCCAAAAGCCACAATCTTTGGCTCATTATGATTCTGGTGATGTGCATATGAAATTTGTAAGATGCTTAGGTTAGGGTTGAGAAGTTTGTCAATGAGCATTGTTAGTGCAGGGAATATCAACTGGGATATATCATTTTTGTGTGAGTGGTCTTTTTGTCAAGTGAGTGTTAAAACATCTTAGTGCCTTTAGAAAGTGGGAAGAGTGACAAACTTTCTCACTGATATGTTGATTTATATAAAGTGTTGGAGCACATTGATAATGCAACTTATTAGGTCAGTGTGAAGATTCATCCAATATTTTATGTAAGCAAGTTGAAAGGTGTGCTATCTTGGAGTGAAGAGCCCAGTGACTCTTTGATGCATAAGGCTCTGGATGACGGACTAGGAGTTTGAGTAAAGTTCCCTAAAAAAGGTGATCACCAATTCAACTCATCCTTGGGATAAGGACTTTATTCAAAGGGATGAATTGTTAAGTGCCAAATTTAACCACATCATTAATGTTCAACTAAAGGGTATATTAATGCTTGAACTTAGGGTTAAGGATACCTAACCTACCACATTAGGAGCGGTGGCATGGTGGAGCTTTTGAGGTAGCTTGGAGTGGTTGGGTGGTGAGGAACCAGAAAGAGATGTAATATAGTCCAGGCAAACCTAAACCTCTTTTTCTTTGTTATTTACTACTGGATTATGATATCTATGTTCTTATTCCACCATTGCCAGAACTCTCATTTGACTATGCTATTCTCAGACTTTCTCTTTTGTGTTGCATGGTTACTGTTCCAGGTTCATATAGGATGGAGATCAGCATCTTCTTGCTTGGATTGCTGAACTTCATATAAAATCAGGAAGACAAAGCCATGTCCTGCATGCAGCATGCAGAATCTTGACCTCCTGTGGAGAACACCTTGTTTAGTGTGGGATGCAAGCTGAGAGAGTAAAATCCAAGTAGAAAAGAGACATTGTAGTGACATCCCTGCATGGATTGGCAGACTGTAAGTAGCTTTGAAAGAATTAAGATGTAGACACCTGCTTCTTTCTTTTTTTCTAAAACACAACTGAGAACAAGTAGAAAGAGGTAGAGTTTAATTAGTTGCAAAGCTTGCAGCTGAACTAATAGTTTTGTGAAACACAAGTTCAGTTTGGAAGATGGCCTGATGAAGATTACAAGGTAACTCTGTTATGTATGGTTTGTATTTTCATAGCTATTATGTTCTAGAGAAATGGCAGAAATTTTAATATCGGCACACAAAGACAATGAAGAAGGGAATGATGGACACCACATCAATCAGCAGGTAATTCTATATTCTTTCTCATTCGACAGCGTTTTTTGCTTAGATCAGGACGAGCTATCTGGTCTAACTCATTCTCAAGGCAACCTCTAGAAACTTCATTGTTTCTACACAACCCTCGTCCTGATAGAGATGTTGCTGAAGATAATTCGTAATGAGTTAAGTTCAAGCATAAAGACTCTTGGATAATTCTCTGCATTCTTCATTTTTTCTTTGTGTGTGCCTACAGCTTAGCGTTTCAAACATGACCACACTAGCCATTTGGAAGCTGTTCTCTCCTTTACAGCTGTTGTGTTGTTTGTTGCCCGAGAAAGTCTCTTTTGCCATATTTTCTCACCAGTGGCTCGGTGATGACACCCACTATAATCGTACTTCCCAAGCATGGCAGAGATCATGGCTCTTTGTCTCTTTATGTTCTCAGGTGTTGGATTTCAAGTCATGAAAAGGACGGAGTTTGCATTGGGCCTGACTTCAGGATCTTTGTAAATTCGTTCATCACAGTTTTTCAGCTTTGCATTGTTCTCATAAGTTGGCACAGCTTGAACTCTTATGTCTTACAGGTTACAATGACTGATGATCAATGTCTTACATTATGTTCGAACATGATCATTTTTGGGCTGGTGACTGAGAACTTGATCATCACTCCAAATCTCGAGGATCACAGGGTCCTATGGTTCAAGAAACATTCGACAAGCAGGAAATGTATGAAGCTGTGGTTGGAGTAATATCTTCACGAGCTGTATCCTTTTTCTCTGGTTGCTGATGTTCTGTTGCAATGAAGATAAGCGTCTTACCTCAGGAGAGAAAGACTGCACAATTAGTGCTAATCAGGTATTGCTGGTTCTGTTTTTCTCGCAAAATTTAATTTTTTCCATCAGGTGTCCGAGGCTGGCGACTTTAAGCAATCATATTGGCGGCAAAGTTTTGGAGGTTGATTTAACAAAAAAGTGGCTGTGTACAGGTAATATCTTTAATATTCACGGATAATTAACCACTAATGGCTCACCATGCAGGAAGAGATTTTTCATGCTTGTCAAAATATAGTATGAAGGGTAAACTCATTGGATTTCCATTCCAGGTGCTTATGTCTTATGCTTTCAGTTATGGACAATCTGCCAGCTAGGGACGAGGTGAGAGGGTCAGTCAGGCTCACTGGCGGGGCCACCGGAGTAACCTGGCTCAGCGAAAAAGCTTCGTTCTTGCTGGCGACCATAGACGAAAGGCTGAGTGCACAGCTGTACTGATCGTGGCCAGTTTTGTCTCGTGAGTTCTACAGTTTTTCTTTTTCTTTTTCTTTTGCAGTGAGCCTTCTGTGGGTTTCTGGACCAAAATGGAGGTGAAGATGTTGGCTTAGCAACTGGTCATTGGGAATGGGTCATTTTTGTGGTGATCTAGAGCTCAAGAGTTTAATTCGATGGTTGGATGCTTCTTAGGTAAGAGTTTCAGGTAATCAAATCTTGGAGATAGATCTTCTGTGATATTTTATTAATTCTGCAGCGTCGAATGCTTGAAGCTCAACATGAGGTAAATTTGAGATTTACTTCAAAGATGAAGCGATCTTTAGCAAACTTCTAGATCGTCAGGCATTTATTACCGTTAGTGCCGTCTCCTTTAGCAAAATCTGAAGTTGGGTCATGTTGGCCTCCCATTGATGTCAAACTTGGGAGAGCTTTCTGCTTGCTATGTTGAGAAAGACCTCTCTTTTCAATCCAAAACACTTATCGATGTCTTCTCTTGAGTTCACTATAAAGCTCCAGGCCTTGCATTGTACTCTAGAAACTTCAAAAAGATGGATACCAGATTTTGCAAAGAGTTGACTGTGTAAGCATAGAGTGCATTCACGAACTTCATTCTTGGTGGTAAGCATGTACTTCCTGGGTGGAAATGGTGAAAGGTGGAGAGGACTCTCATCAGGCCTCACAAGTCTTCTCTCTCAAGCATAAAGTTGGAAAGTTCTTGGAAGTTCTTTGAGTCTGTCACTGATATTTTAAAGCCATTGTGACGCCTGATATCTTTAGCGCAATTGCGGTTCCCAGAGGTTTATCAGGCCTTCCGGGTCACGTCTCAAAGAGTCCAATCAAATATAATTCTCTCCAGCTCCAGTGAATGAATGAGACCAGAAAACAAAAACTCCGAGCTATGGTTGTATATGTGTACGAACGAATCACGAGTAATCTAGCCGTCTTCTCTGAATTTTTAGTGTTTTGGGCGATTGATGGTGTTTTCGATAGCCATGGCAGGGAAAAACGTAATTTACTTTCCCAGAACAGCTGGGAGCTCAGATAGTTTCATTTTGAACAACAATGACTCTTCACGGGGTGACTTGGCACTCTCTTTTAATTACAGGAATCGAGGTTGTCATTAGGGCTATCGCCGTCTTCGTATCTGCAGTTCAGGATTCGAATCACTAACAATTCCTAGGTTACAATCGGCGTGAACAGCAAGTCAAATGGCAACTTCTTTAAGACGACGAGCCACGGTGACTATGCCCGTTTTTGCGGGGTCTATGGGAGACTCAATTATACAATCATTTACCACGTAAATATTTCCAGATTCTTGTTTTTTACTTGAAAACCCTTTTCAGCTATGAAGATTATCTGGACAGCCAAATATCTGCAACCGACCTGTTTTACCTCGAGGACATAGATCTAGCAAGAAAGCTAATCGAGCTTGGGTAGGAAGATCTTTCTGCCCCTAAGATTCTCAATCATGTAATAATTTTAATCAGCTATCGAAGCAACGCAGAAATTATGACTAGAAATCAGTTTGTTGCTCAGAAGGAAGCCGCGGAGCAAGCACGGTTACTGGTACACATATGTATTTTTAGCTTTCCTTAATGATTTTAGATGCTGTCTTTGTGTAGGCCTTAAAAAAGGTTCCCAAGAAAATCTTTTCATCTGGGAAGGATCTCTCAGGCTTCCCGGTGCTTCAAGCTTTGGCAGAGAGAGAGATTCCAATTAGAAACGGAACATTATCGGTACCAAAAGATCCTTTTTCCTGTGTGTTTTGCTAGAATTGTGACTTTCAAACTACACAGACAATTGTCTACATTCGAGACTTCAATGCGAAGGGCCATGAAGTAAGTCAACATAAGTTTGTTTATTCTCGTTTCCAAGTGAAAATATTCTGGGCAAGAAGATTTCAGGATATGTTGATTACGGGGAAAGAATACGAACTGAAGATTTGGAGCCAGTGTTCGAACTCAAAAAGCGATTTCTTCCCGCACTATTTGACCTGTCATATTATAATTGGTATAAGATATTTTAGTATGAAACCGTACCTTACTAAAACTATTTTACAGGACTACGCTGCAAACATTTCAAAACTCGTCATTGAATTTTCAGGCAAGATGAGGATAAACTTCTATTACTAAGTTATGGTATTTATTGACCATAGGTCGTTGCAGAAGGCGATGCTGGTGTAATGTTTAAAAGCAAAAAGGACCGAAAGATGTTGAATGTAAGAAATTCCTTACATTTTACTTCTTTAGGATCACTGGGAGAATGTATTTGTGTAGGTCCATGCTGCTATGGATCCAGGGGATAACTCTACGAGGACTGAAGTATGTCCATCTCTGAATTTCATGTAGCTTGATAGTTCCTTGCAGATTCCAACACACGAGTATAAACAAGCTGTGCTTTTTGACCATGTTACGCGAAAGAAAGGCTTGTAGAAACGCCTACTTGTCTCAATTCAAAATGTTGAGACATTTTGATGATGTATCATCGTATGATGATACATGCTTGTATCATGTATCATGTATCATCATACTTAAAAAATGGTTTCTTGGAGCCTGGCATATTAGTTGCCTCGATCTGGATCCAAAAATAACGAAACACTTCACCTCATGCAGGCAACGTCCACTAGTGACAACCTCAGTGGTTCTCACAGAAATTCTTCGTCTCAATTCAATCGTCTGATATGGTGCCTCGTACTGCATTTGATCAGGGCTTCTTAATCATGCTTGTACATGGGAGTGTCGCAATGTTGACCTTGCAAATAAATTAAAACATCTTGCTACTAACGGTTTACTTGTCAAATAGATTAAACAAGTATTATGTTTTGAAGTTTGGTACTTGTGCCATCGGAACCCTGGAAACAGTTGAAGATGTGCTTTGTTGACATTGAAATGGGCTAAGGTCACGCCGTTAGGACTAAGTGCTGATGTGACAAAGTGGTTCATGCTTAGAGGACAGAGAAGATGAGCAGTGGGTGCTGAGTGTGAGTGTTCTTGAGCCTCAGGGTGACAATCACTCTTGCTTCTTAATGAGAGCTTGTCCCAGTTATGGTGTGAGGTGACACAGGAGCCACTGCTTCTAGCATTGTGCTGAAAGCATTGATGTCATGAGCATGACTACTCTTATCATGCTCCCAACAGGTCACTGATTTCTTTCTCTAACATGGTCCATCAATGAAGGACAGGCATTGCTAGCATCAGTGTCTCAAATGTGATGCAATAAATTGGGGCAAAGGTTTGCTTTTTGAGGCATAATAGCCTGCTTCTCTGTTTGAACATCCCATGCGTGAGATGAAGCTTACTGTGGCTGAAGCAGGCTAGCAATTTCTTCTAGGAAAATGGCAAGTACTAAGGCAAATGAAGCTTAGGATATAATGAGGAGTCAGGCATGTACTCTTGGTATGAGAGCTATACAATTCTTGAGCAGTGTTTTAGACCAAGGTCTTGAGATTTAGTTCCTAACACAGAGTTCCCAGCTTAGAGACGCTGCACATGTGACCATCACCGTCATTTTCTGTGTGGTGACAGTGATAAAATGACGGTGGCACTGTACATGTAATCATCATCCACGTCAGATTATTCTAGAATATTCTAAAATCAAGTTACTGTTGAGTTAGTGCTGATTTGTCATTGATTAATGCCACATCATTAGGGTTCATGTGGATGAACAGAGCAATGGCTATGGTTTCTGTGGTTGCTGCGGCTGCTGCTGCAGTTGATCAGTTGGTTGTTGGTTATAGAAGATCTAAAAGGCATCTCAGAGAAGATCTTGAGGATGAGAGGTTTGAAGCTGCTCTTTAACAACAATCAGTGCTGGTGTATCATCAATGTGCTTGGTAGTAGTTGGGAGTTGGTTGCAACTGAACTTCTTTCAGGAGGGTGATTTCTATATCAGACCAAGGTCTCTTCATTGGTTTCCTCATTGGGTGGACAAGGTTGGAATGCAAAATCCAACAAGGTGGAGAGAGTTCTTCAGAGTTTTTGAGGAGCAGTTCATGACAATCTGCAAACTTGTTGCTCCGTCAATGCAGAAAAACATTCCATCTAGATATGTTCCTGTTGGTAAGCAAGTTGTCATTGCTTTATGGAGATTAGCTTCAGGTGATTCTTTTGCTAGTTTGGCAGAGCATTTTGGTGTTTCTAAAACAACTGTCTGGAAGTATTGTCAGAAGTTCTCCAACACAACATTCCAGCATCTAGGACAATTTCTTGCGTGGCCAGCAAATTTGTCAGCAGTAAAAACAGGTTTCAAGAGTCTTTGTGGCTTCCCAAATTGCTGTGGTGCAATTGACTGCACGCATTTCGAAGTTGAGCTTCCTGGAAATGCTTTTGCAAGTGATTATTACAACAAGGACAAGGATTACTCAATTGTCATGCAAGCAATCGTGGATAGTGAAGCAAGGTTCCTGGAAATTTGAGCCTGGGAGTTGCAACGACAACCGTTTTGAGGAAGAGTTCATTCTATAGAAGAGCTCAATCAGGTGAGATTGTTAACAGACCAGTAGTCTCAAGAGGCCAATACCAGTTTCGGGAGTACATCATCGGAGACTATGAGCTTCCGTGGTTGGTTATACCGTTTCTAGGTGCAAATGGAACTGAATTGAGGGAAGCATTCAACTTTTACTTGTTGTCTTCGAGGATGGTATGTGAGAGAAGTTTCAAATTGCTTAAAGGTTGTTGGAGAATGTTTAGGAAGCTGGTTGAAGTTGAGACCATCACTCAGCTAACAGTTGCCATAAAAACAGCTTGCATTCTGCATAACTTCATTATTGGTACAGGTGACATAGGGGAAATAGACATTGAGCCTGAGCCAGTGACTAATTGACCACAAGGCTGGCAACCGGAGCCTCATGTTGCTGCTACAGAGCTTAGAAACATTCTCACTACTTATGAAAAAGACTTAAACAAATCCACTTGAAGCTCACGAATTTGTTTATTTTAGTGTGCTCTATTTAACACACAAACTCAAGTTTTATTTTTCAGGGTTTTGACTGCGACACCCACATTTCCAGCCTGTGCAGCTTCATGCCGCTCGAGGCACTGCATGACGAGCTGCGCAGTCACCTTGCAACACTCAAGAACGAGCTCATCGAGCTCATCAACAAGGATTACAAAGATTTCATGAGCCTCAGCACGCAGCTTGTGGATGTGGATGGTGCCGTGCTCTGGATGTGCACGCCATTGCAAGAGCTGCGAGGTAAGCTTGTCACCATGCGCAATGGTGTCGATGGAGTGCTGCTCGTGCTCCAGGACGCACTCAAGCAGAGATCCAAGGCCTTTGCATCGCAGGAGATTCTCAAGTTGCTGCTCGACACCTCTCATGTGGTTTCCAAGGTAAGATCGAGTGGAGTGAGTCCTTTTATTTCAATTCCTAGCTTGCTTGCAGATCGAGAAGCTCTTGCTGGAGCTCAAGGAAAATAGAATTTCCAATGGAAATCTAGTGAGTGGCAGTGAAGGATCTCTGGATCTGGTCGACAACAACAGTGGTGATGACCTGTGGAGTCGATTGTTGGAGCGAATTATGAGTGAGATGAATCATCTAAAGTTCTATGTTGCCCGCATCCAGGTGAAGTGACAAGAAGGTTCTCTACCATTGTCTACGTGCTTATGTGGCTATTGACAACACTGCTGGAGCTGAAGAGGCTTTTCATATCATAATTGTGGCACCTTTTGTCTCCAGGCTTTTTCCTGGGAATTCTTCCAAAGACTTGGTGGGTGGAGGAGCCGCGGACAAGCTGGAGGAAGAATATAAACAGGTCGAGGTGCATATTACTCAAGATTGTAAGTTCATGCTGGATATCGTAGCTTCTGGTAAGCTTTCCAAATGCCTTTTTCTTTTTTCGCTCTTTTTTGCTTCTTTTCTTTTTAGAAAACTCTGGACTTGATGTGTTTGATGTTCTTGGAAACTCCATTCTTAAAGAAGTGCACTCAGCAATAGTGGCAGGCAAGCCTGGCGCACTTTCACCTGGGAAACCAGCAGAGTTTTTGGCAAATTACAAGTCAAGCCTGAAGTTTCTATCGGTAGTAGAAGGTATGTAGCTTGGGTATTGCTAAGAAAGACCAACTCAAGCATATCAATTTCAGGATACTGTCAGTCACAATCGGCGGTTCTTGCTCTTTGTCTCAAGCAAGTGATGCTGAATTCGTGAAGCTTTGGAACTTGCCAGCTTATTTTACCCTGCAGTGGTAGGCTGGGTGGTAGAAGGCCTGGACGTTGTCCGGAAGATTGTGAGTACCAGGGTGGTCAAAGATAACACAAGCAATCTTTACTTCTGGTATGTATTTTCTTCTCTTTGTTCCTTGGGAAAAATCTCATCTCGGACCCCATAGCACTGCCAAGCTTATAGGCGATACCTGAGCAGTGGTCACTGAGAGGGGATTCAATCAAACATAGGCAAAGATTGTCATTTTGCAGTGGGTACTTACTCTTGTAAAGTTCTTTCTTTCCTTTCAATCTAGCTCTGATCCATATTGCCAGACGACTGATACAAACAGCTTTACGCAAACGCTCATGTCCTTCCAACAAGAATGCTCTTTCTAAATCGATGGAATTGATCCAAGGATACTGGCAGCAGCAACACAAGGTGGGAATGCTGAGCCTAGAATTGTCGATCAGGTAAATCATCACATCTTCATCAGTTCATCATCTCTTTCGTTGCTTCGGAGATAGTAATCAGCAACGCTGTAAACTACAAAAGTGAAGTTCCTGAATAAGAAAATGAATTGACTTACCAAAGAATCAGCAATTGCAAACAAGGCTTGAGCTACTTGATTCACACTCTTCACCATCTGGCTATCCACAGCCAGAGTACACTCCATGAATTCTTCCTTCTTCAGATTATGACGACAAATTTCCTTCTGGCTATCTTCCATTGTATCAATGAGCCTCACATTGTTGTCGTGCAACGCTCCTGCAAGTTGTTTTGCAAGTTGTGTGCGGGACTTCTTCCTTAGCCAGCCTGAACTGTCATTGCCAGAAATGATTATGAACAAAAACTACAAAACATACTTTCAGGCTTTGATTCTCCATATGGAGGTGATGGTGATTGTTGTCGTGAAGCTCCTGGTGTTGGTAATGGTGATCATTGGGATGTAGGTGGTGAAGACATTGATTTCTGAGTCTGTCTCTGTGAATTCACATTCGACGGTCCTGAAGCCACTCGTCCATCAGTGTGTAGAGTTGATCATTGAACTTTGGTAAATGCTTTACGACGTTGCTCTGTCATGTTCTAGTAACTGCTTCTGCCAGTAGGAACATGATATTCATATGATTTGATTTTGTTGAACTCTTTGTAGATATACTCCCAACAAGATTGACATTGCCCAAGCAAACAGTTGACACCATGTGTCAAATAGTAGCTCCAAACTTATTGAACAACTGGACCAAAACTTACTTGGAGACTTGCTGCCAACGAACGCTTGCAGTCTTATGCCTCTTTTGAATGCTGCCTCACTTCTGTAAGAAGAAATCATGCCTCTTTGCTTCAATCAAAACCAACAATTCATTCAAAGACCAATGCCCCCGATTTCCAGCTGGTTTTAGAGGCTTCGGTGGAGTGGAAGCAGTAAAATTCCCCTTGCTGAATTAAGAACCATCATACACAACCTCTTGCTAACATTGAGTGGAGAACATAATCTCCAAGTCATTCAGTTGCTACTCTCCCATTCTGCTCAAGATCCTAAAACCAAGAATTGACACATCAGCAATAGTGGCAGGAGGAAATAACTATCACATCAGCATTTTAACATGCTATTGCAGGTTTGACGGTGGTCAACTGGCTCCAGTTTTGAAAAACATTCAAATTGATTTCACCTTCACAATGCCACCGTTAAAAAAGTGACAATGACAGTGACATGTACTAGGGCAATGTCACTTCAAATTGCTGATGTGACTGTCACAATTTAACTGTGATGGTCACATGTGCAGCATCTATTAGGGCAGGGTTTGATGTGTCCACTACACCCCTAAAATTTTAAGGTTACATATGACAACCACATCATTAATATAGTTTTTGCCAACACAATTAAATCTTTTGTCTTTTATAAATATTGATTGCCAGTTTAGATATGAAATAGTTTTCTTAGTTTATTCTACCAGGTCCACCTGGAAACTTCTCCCTTTCCAGAAAAAAAACCTCCCGCCCTCATAAATTTTATGGTTACATGTAAACCCCCCTTAAAATTGCCACGTCACAAATATAATTATTGCTAAGTCAGTTAAATTATTTTTGTCTTTTATAAGTATTGATTGCTATTTTATACATAGCATCATTTTATTAGTTTGTTCTACTAGGGGTTCTAGGCAGCAGGAGAATTTTTAGGGGGATACCTCCCTTCCCCCAATTTCAATGGCGGGGGGTTAAAAGTTGCCCCCCCTGAAAAACTTCCTCTAAGGGATGCATGGAACCCTGCTTTTGAGATTATTCTGAGGCCTCAGAATATTCCCTCATCCTTGTGTAGAGTTCCCAACTATTTGTTTGGCACTTGAGCTCTTCTATGTGTCTTGAGTGTGAGCATATGAGAGGGAGTGTGGATCTATCATTAGGGCTTTAGAATGCCCCAAAATTTGGTGAATCTAGCAATTTCAGTCTAGTCTAGCCTTCTTATGAGGATTTGTGCATTTCATAAGAGATGAAGTTGATTTTACCTCATTAGAAAGAGGAAGCCATGGCCTTCTGATTGGCAATGGAAATGCAACTCTTCTTTATTTGGGTTAGCAATTTGAAGGCCTTGGCTTCCTCAATAACAGGCCAATTGAAATTGCCTTTCTTTCCATTTCTTTGTCTAGTTTTCATGAGTGTCATGGCTCTTCATGTTGGTCTTCTTCTCTTTATCTAAGTCTAAACTTTCCAATATGTCTATTTATGTCCAATTTTGTAGCCAGAGTTAAGAGATATTTGTTAAAACATATTTGCCAAAGGTATTTGTGAAGGTTTAATCCATTTCTTTTGGTTTTTTCACTTCATCTCCACATTCTTCATCTGATTTGTATGTGTATATATTTTTTGAGATACCCACAAAAGTTTTAGTACTTTCTTTAGCTAGATTCTCATTTCTTTGTGAGGAATTAGCATTTGTGGGACATACAGTTATCTTTGTTGGAGATTTCTTCTTTGGGACACTCTTTTTTTTGGAGGCATTGATAAAGATGGTGAAGAGGGAAAATTAAAAATTCTGAGAATTATCTAGAAAACTTAAATCTTATAGTTTGTTCAATGGTTAAAGAGCACTCATAGCTGCATGACCTGAATAAAGAAATATAGAAATAAAGGTGAGAAAAATAGAGAAAAAATGAGAAAAAAATGATAAATAAAAAGAAAAAATAAGAAAGAGCTCCCAATACCAGAATGGCTTAAGGAGCATATTCTATCTCATTCCTAAAAGGGCACTATTGCCTCTATTAACAAAAGTGTGCACAAATCACCTCTATTGCCTTCATTATTATGATAGAAAGAAATCTCAGCACTAGTTGGTGAATGACCCAATCCTGGAGCTGAGAATGACAAGAAGAAGGTTCTGCTCAATATTGAGACAGCAAGAAAATGGTTACTTCTCAAAATCACCACTTTGTAACATGTTTGCTTTTGGCAGCCCAAAACTCATATGTAACACATCCACTATCTTGAGTAGTGGGTGAAGAAGAGGAGTCACCATGAAGATTTAATTGAAAAAGCATTGGTAGAAAAAGTTTTGTAAGAGAAAACTTGTCTACTACATCAAATGCCCACAAGCCAAGTGCATAAGATCCATGGTTTTCAACTTGCTTCAAAGGTGGTTAAAAATCCTCTTCAAGCCTAATATCTCCTTACTGTGGAAGTGGAAACATAGCTGGATCAACCATGGCAACCATCATCATGCTTCTTTGCCAATAACTTGTAAATGTCTAAGCTCTTGACTGGACTCTAAGAAAAAAAAAATTTGCATACCTCACACAAAACAAGAGATAGAATTCTGATTGTCAAAAGTTCTAGATCAATCAAATCTAGGATTCATGAAAGATAAAAAGCCAAAAGCCTGATCCAATTCAACAATAATAGGAATTGAAAAGAAATAAAAATATCTAGATCAAATAAAAGACTAAAGTGGAAATACTTAGCTTGAAATTGATATAGATCCTTTTATTTTTGTTCTAGAAATTAATACTCCAAATGATGCCTTCGCTAAAAAGTGAGCCATGCCACTGTGGTCACCATCTGTTGCAAGGGAATCCTGAAAAATGCCACTGAAAAATGTGTCATATTATCAATCTCAATAATGAACCTAATGGATTAATCTCTAAGTACATCTGGGAATATTCCCAGAATCATACCCACAATCTAACACCACATCCTTGGGTATAGCTTCAAATCTAGCTACCAGACCAGCTCTAAGCTTTCAAAGTGGGATCTTCCAGCCATCCTCCACACTCTCTCAGGTCCTGGAGGACATTCTCACTCAAATTTCTGGCACTTTATCTAGATCATGCTCAGTGAGCTTAATTGGCAAGATTTTAAGAAGCATTCCTGGTTTTAACACTCAAAAAACTCATGATCTCATTCTTTGTAGTAACATTCAGATAAGACACTCTTCCTCAAAGGCATAAGCAATGCTCAGCTCTCATTTTCAAAGCAACATCATCTCTCTTGTTGGCATACTCCAGTGGCTTGGAAGTGGCTGGCAACATGGTTGTCATTCTCAAACGATTTACTAATTATACTGTGATTCTGGCTTGCATTTGTAAGAGTGTTAAGATCTTCACCGATGGCATGGGTTTGACATTTGACTTCCTTATAAGGGACTACCACCATCATCTCAGAGTCTATCTTGGGATGGATATTTGAGTTGTATAATGCAGTATGACTGACATCTTCTATATGGATTGGACTACTCCATATTGGACTTTTCTAGCATCACCATACATATTCCAAAGTTCCTTGGCCTAAAAAAGAACTGGAGAATCAGCCATGATATCTTTGCAACCACAGAGTCAAGAATCAAGGTAGAAATTTTTCTAGCCACTTTTCTGACTCTAGCACCACATAAGGAGTCACTTAGGACCCTTACTAAGGATATCTCACAACATTCACACAGGGTTTAGGGCCTTTTATGAACATTATAGTTTCATAGGGCTTTATAAAAGCCTCTACCCCAGCTGTACCTACACCTAACT